ATACATTTTGATCAAAAATTTACCATGCTTATGATAATTTTAAAATATCTTCAAGATTTCGAAGCATTCGGTTTTGTAGTTCCTGAGTAAATCAGTAAAATAAATTTACGCTTTCATTTATTTTTTTGAATCACCCTGTATATGCAAATCCAAAAAATATGAATGGAGTGATAGATCACAGGTACAGACTGATCATATTTTGTACATTTTAGATATGATTTATTCGGCAAATTTTCGAGCTGACGTCATCAAGTTTTTGGAGGGATAAGCAAATATATTTTGACTAAACATTTATTATGCTCTTTATAACCTTAAAACATCTGCAAGATGTCAGAGCATTCCGTTTTGTAGTTCCTGATTAAATCAATAAAATATATTTACGCATTCATTAATTTTTTTGAGTCACTCTGTATATGCAAATCCAAAAAATATGAATGGAGTGATAAATTACAAGTACAGACTCATCATATTTTGTACATTTTAGATATGATTTATTCGGCAAACTTTAGAGCTGACGTCATCAAGTTTTTGGAGGGGATAAGCAAATATTTTTTGACTAAAGATTTATGATGCCCTTTATAGCCTTAAAACATCTGCAACATTTCAAAGCATTCTGGTTAGCAGATTAAAAATTAAATTTCAAAATGTTGTTTTATAATTTTGATTTTTTTTCCAAAAATCTGGACGTTTCGGGTGAAAAGTCGATTCAGAGTTGTAAACTACATGTGTAGGACTATGTTATTTTATACAATTGAAAACCCATTTACTATGTACAATTTTGAAGTGACGTCATCGCATTAGTGGTGGGGATGATTAGACAAATTTTGGTTAGCGTTTTACCATCTACATGATATTCTTAATATAAGTACAAAATTTCACAACAATCGGTCGAGTACTTTCGGAGATTATCTGTCTAATAAAAATCCGGGACGGCAGACGGACAGACGGACAGACGGACGGACAGACGGACGGACAGACGGACGGACAGACGGACAAACGGACAGACGGACAGACAGACGGAAATGGGAGACCTATTTCTTCGTCTTCTAGGGGTCATGAAAGATCGAGAAAACGTAAAAGTAGAGAGTCGGCCGACGGACTCGATTACAATACTTCCTTTGCTTACGCTCGGGAAGTAAAAATACTTCAAAGTCATAAATACAGAAAAAAGGAAACTAAATCCAAATCTGAAGTTAACACTTCGATGTCGTACAATTGTGTATTGTGTTCATAAAGCTACAAACCAATGGTTGTTTCTAAAATTATTTTCTAAGCTCAGGAAGTATTATCGAATCCATCGGCTGACTAATTATTTTTGTTTTCTCGACATTTCATGACCCCTAGAATACGAAAACCTAGGTCCACGGTTACCAGAGTATGGTAAAATTCCACTACATGTCGTCGAAAATTCCGCTACAGGCTGATTTTACAGCTGAAAATTGTCATTTATAAACTCAAGTTGCCGTCGATAGAAAAAGTTAAAGCCAAAGATTAAGCCCCACCCTTACCTGCACCGATCTAAATAGTAATGAAGTTTTCATTCGTTGGCAGACCTAGGGGCGGAGACTAATTGCAAATTCCGTATTTCCTTACAAACATTTACCATTTTAAATGTGTTTTAAATTTCTAAGAAAAAAAAATCATCACAACTGAGATGGGGGTTTATATTTTGGATTTTTTCGATAATATACATAGCATTCTTTGAACAACACGATACTCAAAAATATGTTTTTAATTTCTCGTAAAGAAATAAGTATTTTGTAGTTAAGCTTCGCTCCCTTGGCTCTCGGCGAATAAAAAAAATCATCACAATTCAGATAGGGTGGGTGGGCGGGCCTACATTACGCCTTTTTGTTTTAATATGTGTAGACTTCTTTTCACAACATGAAACTTAAAACATTTTTAAAATGAAAAATTCCGCCTCATAATTGCAAAATCCATATTTCCTTGCAAAAATGTACTATTAACCAGGTTTTAAGTTTCTTGTTGTGAAAATATGGCTATAATATTAAGAAAAAAAAAAGGCAAAATATAAGCCCCGCCCACCCACCCTCTCTCAATTCTGATGATTTTTTTTATTCGTCGTAAGCCGAGGGGCGGAGCTTAATTGTAAAATCCTTATTTTTCAACGAGAAACTACCATGTGAAATAAGTTCTTAAGTAATCGTGTTATACAAAGAAAACTAAATGTATTAATTAAAATCATCCGTCTTGATCTCAATTGTGATGGTTTTTTTATTCGTCATGAGCTAAAGGGGCGGAGCTTAACTGCAAAATTCGTATTTCTCTACAAGATGTCTTTGAGTATGGTGTTGCTCAAAGAATAATAATACTATGTATATTAAGAAAAAAACAGTTGATTGATCAGGGAACACTTGATGGGTTGGTTAAAATTTGGAAGTTCACACCCGCCATTCAACATAACATTTTTGATAACGATAATAATGTGCCAATCGGGGCTAGTACCTGCTAAGATAAGACTGATTTTGGCAAATGAGATACTCTCTAAGAAAACAAAGGGTGGGTGGGCGGGGCTAGTGGCTACTAGAATAAGACAGATTTTGGCAGATGACATAGCCTCTAAGAAAAGAGAGGGTGGGTGGGCGGGGCTAGTACCTTCCAAGATAAGACTGATTTTGGCAAATGTCGTATCCTGTAAGAAATTTAATTAATAAATTATTATAAGAAAAGATACTAGAGGCTTCAAAGCACTTTCAAATTCTTTCCAAACAGAATGCCCAGAACCTCAAGATTGTTTTAAATTTAAAAAAAAAAAACTGGGTCCCAAAATTAACTCAGAAACAGGTGAGGTCAGAATTTTCCAAAAATAGAACACCGGAACTTTGGTCCAAACCAATTTTAAGATCATTATAACTCCACCAAAATATGAGAATGATTTTTTTTTACTGTTTTTGTCAGACTCACCAGTTGATTATTAATCCGCCATTTTTGTTGTGTTGAGTCGTTACCTAGGTTTCCAGATTTTTGTAAAAAAAATCAGAATTGTATAACAACATTTTCAGTTTAATTTTGAAATTGCAAAACCGAATGCTCTGAAGTTTTACAAACGTTTTAGAATTATCGCAAACAAGGTAAATCGTTAAACCAAATTTATCCGCTTACAACCCTTGCAGAAACTGATGACGTGATCTCAAAATTTTGCCAGATAAATCCTATCTAATAAAATGTGCAAAATATGATGAATTTATACTTGTGATTTGTTATTCTATTCATATTGGTCAGAATTACTTATACCGGCGGCTCAAAAAATTAATGAATGAATCATTTTACTGATTAAATCTGGAACGTCTCACTTCATTTTCCCAAATTCATAGATGTGTCCTTGAAAAATCTTGATGACGTCATCACAAAATTTTATAAAGAAAAATTCATTTGTAACATAGCGTAGCACGCTTCTGTACATTTACTTTAACATTAAATTCATATCTTTATTTTAACTTATAGGCGTTCTTATAAAAAAAATAAAATTCTCAAAATCAATTTTTTAAATAAATAATGATAATAATAATGTGTTTTTTGCTCAACAGTTCAAAAAAAAAAACATATAACCAATATTAAAATTTTCAAATATCGAAATATATTTTTTTTTGCAAAATACCCTATATTGTTGTACTTCATGTTATTTCCGTTCTTTCCTGCTCTCTCTCTTTCTTTTTTGTTTTTTTTTTTTATATGTGTGTATATAAGAAAATTTACTACTTTTATTATATGTAAATAGGTCTTCTTTTTCCGTCTGTCTGTCTGTCAGTCGCCGCCTTCCTCTGTGTCGATTTTTATCAGACATATAATCTCAAATATCATAAGCATAGCATAGTAAATCGTTAATCAAAATTTAACAAATAAATAAATAAATAAATTTAAACAATCTTGAGGTTCTAGGTATTCATGTTTGAAAAGAACTTGAAAGTGCTTTGGAGCCTCTATTGTCCTTTCTTATAGTAATGTAGTTTACTTAGAGGATATGTCATTTTATAAAATCAGTCTTATCTTAGCAGGTACTAGCCTCGCCCACCCACCCTCTCTTTTCTTTGAGGCTATGCCATCTGCCAAAATCAGTCTTATCTTAGCAGGTACTAGCCCCGCCCACCCACCCTCTCTTTTCTTTGAGGCTATGCCATCTGCCAAAATTAGTTTTATGTTAGCAGGTACTGGCCCCGCCCACCCACCCTCTCTTTTTTAGAAGGTATTTCATTTGCCAAAATCAGTCTTATCTTAACAGGTACTAGGTAAAAGCTCACGACTCCTCACAGCTTGTAAAATACGAAAATGTGTGTGTTCCCGTTTCTATTTAGGTGTTGACGATTTTGTTTGAAGATTTTAGAAAATAGTGAACTGATATTGTTAAATAAATTTCTCTTGAAATTTCTAATGTGGTTTAATAATGTGTAATATTTTTAATTTTAATAATAATATGGGTTAGTGATTGCAGAACGTCGACAATACAGCGTGACCAGCAAGTTCGCCCGACCTGACCCCAGTGGACTTGGAATATGATTGATTAATTAATATAATTATTAATAAAAATATATCTAAAACAGGCTGTCTACTGCCACTTGAACGACCTATTTCTTATCAATGCGCTTATGATAATGCACGAATTGTACATATAAATTAACAACTGACATTTTTATGTACACCAACGAAACCGCACAACAACAAAATAGCAGCGACAAGAACCATCTTCATAAAGTACTGCCACCCAGGGATGGCGCCACTGTCACAAATACTTTTAAAAATATAAAATTTGCAAACGAACACTTCTGGACATTTGTATGAGCTCTGATTAATTTAGTTACTGAGTTACCGATCTGTAAAATTAATAATCGGGTACTTCCCCTGTATCAGTAGCTGTCGCTATCACTATCTTTGGGAAAATATGCTATCTTTGTATAGATATCTCATTATCTTAACTAGATGTGAACGCAATTTGATTTTATAAAAAGTCAGTTATGTTTTAAGTTTTTTTTGGTTAAGTTGTATACTGTGAAGTTGTAATTTTAGCACACAGTTCACTTTTTTCGTAAACGAAGAGTGACAAAGATGAATGATGGAAAACTCTTGATGATCATTATCGCGTTAGTCGTAAGTTTAGTAACCTACTTTACAGTTATATCTATCTCTGTTTTACTTAGTTACTCTCCATAAACTTAATCATCGTGGGTTCCGAGGTTCTCAAAGACGAAGAGAAAGGAATTGAGAGATTTACCAACTCTTCTGGTGCTCTCGCTATAATCGTCGGATTTTCATCATTCCTTACAATCATTTGTCTACCTGGTGGAACTTACGTGACGAAAACAATTGTGAGAATGTACATACCTTTCGTCGTCGTCTTACTCTACAAGTTTTTTCAGTACTTTATTTTTCTTTTCATTGTTTTCATCATGGAACTGGTTTTAAGTGGGTTAGCTCTGGCGGCCGTTTCCGACAACAATGACATAAGTCGCATTATGAAACTAGTTTTCGATAGTTACGCCCAAAATCAGACGTACACGAACAAACTTAGTGTTGATACTATTCAACACCATGTAGGTTATCTAAATCAAGTACTCACTCTGATTAACCAAGTTTTCAGTTGAGATGTTGCGGGTTTGATGGTCCACAATACTGGACCTCGCTTGGCTTCAAGGAGTATCCTGATAGTTGCTACCAGGATCCTCTCACTAAAAAAAATTTGCACAGTGTAGGATGTCTGGGTAGTTTTCGTGGAAGAATGATGCCGAAAATTACGGTTATTGGGGTATTAGCGCTTCTGCTTGCACTGATTAAGGTATTTGTGTGATGAATTAACCCATAAAACTAAGGAACAAGTTCTAGAATTTTGTTGTTTCGTGGATTGTCATTACGGACAAAGTCGCCTACCAACAGTTTCTATTCGTGATTGTTGCTACTGTGTTTTTAGTTTACGAATACCGGAGGGGTCACTAGACACAAAATCAACAAGTGCATTTTTTAGATAAATTATAAAGACTGATTTTGAAGATTTTATTTTTTGTGATAACGCCTGTATGTGCCTAGATTTTTTTAATTTTTGTTAATAAAGATTCGCCGCTTCCTCGAGATGGGTAATACAACTACAGACCACAAATTGTTAAAAAAGAACTTTTAATTAACTTATTTTCATATTGGCAGTAGATGGCACTACGATACATAAAAATTACGCTACTTTTCCGTCCTCATTGAAATAAGGACCTTCCCAACATTCTTCCTCTGCGCCAACAACTTCGTGGCCTCTACCACCCTCTCCATCGGAAGAACCTCATGGATTTTCACCCTCAACTTCTCTTCTTTCACCATTTCGAAAATCTTTCTCAACGCATCTCTCACCCTTTCTGGATCTTTATCAATCAGAGTGCCTAAATGAAGCCCCGCTGCCACCCGATTATAAACAATCAAGTCTTCCAATCTCACGTTTTTGGTTGTCCACCAGCCTTTCAGGAAAGTCAAAACCGACAACTTATTCTCATTCTGGATCAAATTATTGGCCCCAATTAAGACGATCCGACCCAGAGGCTTCAACTGGGTTTCCAAAAACCCGTAAAGAGGTCCGGCGTACGTCGATAGAATTAAATCAAACCCTCCTGGACACATCTGCGCTAGGTTTTTCTCACAGTCTGAATCGAGAGTCAAGGTTTTATCGACCCCGTTTTTCTGGACTTCGGGGTACTTTTCAGGGGAGGTGGTTCCCACGACGGTGACGCCATCTATGTTTTTGGAGAGTTGTGTGGCCGCCCAACCCACGCCCCCTGGAATTTTTGTTTTTAGTTACAAAGAAAATCAACAGATGGCGCTTTTTTGATTTATTTATGTAGAACAGTACTTAAGTAATTTTAATTGTCTCACCTCCACATGATATGATAAGCACAGTTTGATTCTGCTTTAAATTCCCTAGTTCTATAATGGAAAAATAGGCTGTCAGATAGTTCACAAAAATGGCTGCACCTTGTTCAAAGGTAATGTAGTCGGGCAATGGGTATATTTTATCTGGGGCCACCCGTAGTACGTCACGGTACATACCGCAATGATAATCGTAGCAAATAACTCGTTGCCCCACCTGTAACCCCCATTTTAACTAGACAATAACATCAATTAAAAACTATCCAACCTGTAAATCTGTACTTTCAACCCCTACAGCTGTGATAGTACCCACACATTCCATCCCCAAAACGAAGGGTAGTTTCTTCTGGTACATCAACCCTTGTCTCGTGTACAAATCGGCGAAGTTGACGCCCCCATATTCGACCTTGACTTCAATCCGCCCATCCAAAGCAGGTTGTTCGAACTGCTCCACCTACAACTCAATTATTATTTTTTGGTTTTGAGTGGACGCTCAAACGAACACTGAGGACGTCGTAGTTGCCGAACTTTTTCACTACCACTGCTTTGCTCGTCTCCATTTTTCTATTTCTGCGGTGTTATTTGAAATGTTTGGTGTTGTTAACAGGTGGTTCGACCTTGAACGAGATGGAGCGCTGTCATGGTCAAGGTTGCGCTGATAAGAGCCGGCTTGGTAATAAATATCGCGGTGTTATCAGTCTGACGTTTCTTTCTTGCGGCGTGGTGACCGCAATGTGACGATTTTGTTTGTTTTTTTTTTATTTACTTTGTGGAATTTAAAATTGCCGCCACTGAGACGTCTGTCATTGGTAGCAAAAGGGCGATGTTGGTTGCAGCGATACAGGCGTTTAACAAAAGTAACACGTTGGAAGATTAAAATAATTATTGTAGTTGGTACAGAGACATTTTCTTTAGATTCTTATAATTGATTTAACTGTTGTTAAAATAAATTGAGTGCTGATTTTTTAAATGTTAGAAATTAAGAGTATGATTCCACTTTTAATGCATTTTAACGACACAGAAAGGGCGCGGTATTTATTTTAGAGAAGCGTTATAGTTTAAATTAAATGACGGTTGATTACTCCTCGACTTATGTTGGCAACAGTGTTTGTTTCTAAATACAGTAGCGGTCATTTCTACGGAACCACTCGATAAAAAGTCAAGTTGGTAGCCCTGTCATCTAGTACTTTACGCCGAACGCGGTTGGTAGCGGTAGTTGATACGGCAATCGAAACTACTACAACACGAATGTTTCGGTTGCCCTCCGCTATGCCGCACTGTATCCCGTGCAGACTGTATGTTCTGTTCATCTATTTATTAAAATAAAATATCTACATTGACAATGGGGCCATCTAACCTGTCAAATTTTTGACACATATGTTTTCCCCCAGAAACCCGTCAAGGTCACTTACACCAAACAAATTTTGAAAATTTACACTAGGGAGTGGTTCTATAGAAAAGATCGCGACTTTAGGAATAAAATTAACTACAATAAATAAATTTTATAATATTTTTAACGATACGTTTTACTTTCGGCAAATGACACTAGATTTACCAGAATATTATCATTTTGGACATTTCAGTTTTGGGATTTTTCAGTTTACTCATTATTCAATTTTTCGATCTTACGATTTTGCAGGTTTTTGATTTTTCAATTTTTCGATTTTTTTAAGGTTTCGATATTTCGATTTCTCAGTTTTTGGATATTTCCGTTTTGGGATTTTTCAGTTTTTCGATTCGTCAGTTTTTCTTCCATTTTTCAGTTTTTCGATATTTCAGTTTTGGGATTTTCCAATATTTCTGTTCTTCGACTTTTCCATTTTTGACTTCTGGATTTTTCGATGTGTCGACTTTTTACTTTTTTGATTTTTAAATTTTATATCTCAATTTTTTGGTATTTTAATTTTTCAATATGTATTTAAAATTTTCGATTTTTCGATTTCTCGATTTTACATTTCAGCTCTTTCATATTTCAATTTTTCAAATGTTTCGATTTCTTAATCTATCTTCCCGGTTTTAGATTTTCTGTTTTTCAATTGTCGTTTTTTCAAATTTGCGATTTTTCAATTTTTCAAATTTGACATTTAAACTGTCAGTTTTTCGATTTTTCAATTAATCGATATTTTGATTTTCCCATTTCTTGACTTTCGAGGGTTTCCATATTCCTGTTCTTCAATTCTTTAATTTTTCGATTTTTCAGGTTTTTGATATTTTATTTTTTAATTTTTTTAAGGTTTCAATTTTTCGACTTCACTTTTTGGATTTTTCTATTGCTCAATTTTTCGACTCTTAAGGTTCTCAGTTTTTGGATATTTCAGTTTTCGGATTTTTCAGGTTTTCCATTTTTCACTTTTTTTTTTCATTTTTCAGTTTTTCGATATTTCAGTTTTAGGATTTTTCAATATTTTGATTCTTCGACTTTTCGATTATTGGCTTCTGGAGTTTTCGACGTGTCGATTTTTTTACTTATTCTATTTTTCAATTTTTCGATTGCTTAATCTTTCGATTTTTCGACTTCCCGGTTTTAGACTTTGTTTTCAATTTTTCGATTTTTCAATATTTTCATTGCCCGATTTAGTTTCCCATTTTTAGTTTTTCTTTCATTTTTCAGTTTTTCGATATTTCAGTTTTGGGATTTTTCAATATTTCGACTTTTCGATTTTTGACTCCTGGATTTTGCGATGTATCGATTTTTTTACTTTTTCGATTTTTTAATTTTGAAAATTTTAGATTTTTCGATTTCTCGATTTTCCAATTTTTTAATTTCTCAGTTTTGGGATTTTTCAGTTTACTTATTATTCAATTTTTCGATCTTACGATTTTGTAGGTTTTTGATTTTTCAATTTTTCGATTTTTTTAAGGTTTCCATATTTCGACTTCACTTTTTTGATTTTTCGATTTCTCAATTTTTCGATTCTTTAGGTTCTCAGATTTTGGATATTTCAGTTTTGGGATTTTTCAATATTTTTGTTCTTCGACTTTTCCATGTTTGACTTCTGGATTTTTCGATGTGTCGACTTTTACATTTTTGGATTTTTAAATTTTAGATTTCTCAATTTTTTGGTATTTTAATTTTTCAATATTTAAAATTTTAAAGTTTTCGATTTCTCGATTTTTCATTTCAACTTTTCCATATTTCAAGTTTTCAAATGTTTCGATTTCTTAATCTATCGATTTTTCGACTTCCCGGTTTTAGATTTTCTGTTTTTAAATTGTCATTTTTTCAAGTTTTAGATTTTTCAATTTTTCAAATTTGACATTTAGACTGTCAATTTTTCGATTTTTCAATTAATCGATATTTTGATTTTCCCATGTCTTGACTTTCGAGGCTTTCAATGTTCCTGTTCTTCAATTCTTTAATTTTTCGATTTTTCAGGTTTTTGATTTTTTATTTTTTTATTTTTTTAAGGTCTCAATTTTTCGACATTTTAGGTTCTCAATTTTTGAATATTTCAGTTTTCGTATTTTTCGATGTGTCGATTTTTTACTTTTTGGTTTTTCAATTTTTTAATTTTTAAAATTTTAGATTTTTCGATTTCTCGATTTTTTAATTTTTTAATTTCTCAGTTTTAGGATTTTTCAGTTTACTCATTCAATTTTTCGATCTTACGATTTTGTAGGTTTTTTGGATTTTTCAAATTTTTCGATTTTTTTAAGGTTTCGATATTTTGACTTCACTTTTTGATTTTTCGATTTCTCAATTTTTCGATTCTTTAGGTTCTCAGTTTTTGGATATTTCAGTTTTTCGATTTGTCATTTTTCCTTTATTTTTCAGTTTTTCGATATTTCAGTTTTGGGATTTTTCAATATTTCTGTTCTTCGACTTTTCCATTTTTGACTTCTGGATTTTTCGATGTGTCGACTTTTTACTTTTTTGATTTTTAAATTTTATATCTCAATTTTTTGGTATTTTAATTTTTCGACTTCCCGGTTTTAGATGTTCTGTTTTTCAATTTTTCGATTTGTTAATTTTTCATTCACAATTTATCGAGATTTGATTGTTCAGGTTTTCGATTTTTCAGTTTTTCAATTTTTTATGTTGGTCTATTTCGTTTTCTCAGTTTTTCCAGTTTTCCATTTTTCGTTTTTTGATTTTTCCGCTTTTCCAATTTTTCAACTTTTAACTTTTTGTTTGTCGATTTCTCTATTTTTCGATTTTTCGACTTCTTATTTCGATTTTCCGGTTTTTTTATTTTTCCAAAATCGCGACTTTCGATTTTCCAAGTTTTTGATTTTTCAATTTCATAATTTCGGAGTTTTTTAATTTTACTATTTTACAATTACCTATCTGATTTACCATTTTTCGGTTTTAAAATTATTCGAATTTCACTTTTAAATTTTTGCAATTTTCCAGATGTACAGTTTATTAATATAATTTTTGGATTTTACAATTATCCAATTTTTTAATTTTATCAAATTTTTTATTTTTCAATTGTTTGATATCCGAAATTTAGAATTTTTTCGATTTCAAAATTTCTAGATTTTTGAATTTTTGATTACAGTTGCTAGATTATAAAATTTCGGTTTCCAATTTTCCAAATTTTTGATTTATCAATTTCATAATTTTGCAATTTTTTGATTTTTCTTTTACAATTTTTCTAGTAATCAGTTATCCAGTTTTTAAGTTTTTGATTTTACAAAATAAAATTTTTGCACTTCTCAATTTTTCAATCGTTCGGTTCGGTTGTGAAATTCTTCGATTTTTTGATTTTTCGATTTTTCATTTTTCAGTTCGAGTTTACAATTATCCAATCTAATTTTGCAATTTTCGTTTTTACAATTTTTTCTCAGTTATTCGGTTTTTATTGATCAATTTTTTTTTAATGTATCATTTTTAAAACGTTTGTTTTTTTTACTATTCAATTTTTGATGTTTCAATTATCCGAATTTCATTATTTCAATTTAAAAAATTTTTCAAAATCTCGAATTTTAATTTTCCCAATTTTCCATGTTTTTGATTTTCCAGTTTGATAATTTCGTAATTTTTAAATTTTGTTGTCCGGTTTTTCATCAATCAATTTTTCAATTTTATAATTCTGTTTTTAAAATTTTTCATTCCAATTGTTCAATTATTGATTTTTCAAATATGTATCCGAATTTCATTGTTCCTATTTTCCAATTTTTTACATTTTTAGTTTTTCAAAATTTGGATTTTCAGTTTAAGTTTTTGATTTTTCTATTTTCCATTTGTCTGATTTTTCAATTTTTCGATTTTCAATTTTAAATGCATGCAATTTTTCGTTTTACACTTTAGTATTCTTTTGATTTTTCAATTATATTTTTTATTTTTTCAATTTCTTAATTAGGTACCCGGTTTTTTTTAATCGATTTCCAATTTTTGATTTTTCAATTATCAAATTTTCCAATTTTTTCATTTTTCAATTGTTCAATGTTTCAAATTTCCCGATTTTTCAACTTCTCGTTTTTTTGATGTTTTAAGTGTTTTTTGATTTCTCGATTTATCGAGATTTGGATTTTTCGATATTATTGATTGTCAATAATAAAAAGTTAAAAATTGAACAATTTATAAATTGTTCAATTTTTAACTTTTCGATTTTGGCCTATTTCGGTTTTTCAGTTTTTCCAGTTTTCCATTTTTTCGTTTTTTGATTTTTCCGCTTTCCCAATTTTTCAGCTTTTAACTTTTTGTTTGTCGATTTCTCTATTTTTCGATTTTTCGACTTCATTACTTTTCGATTTCTCGTTCTTTTGATCTTTCAATCTCTCAATTTTTCAATTTTTCGAAATTTTTAAGTTTTTTGATTTCTCCATTTATCGAGATTTTGATTTTTCGATATTTTGATTGTCAATTTCTCAATTTATAAATTCTTTAATTTTCAACTTTTCGATTTTGGCCTATTTCGGTTTCTCAGTTTTTCCAGTTTTCCATTTTTTCGTTTTTTGATTTTTCCACTTATCCAATTTTTCAACTTTTAACTTTTTGTTTTTCGATTCCTCTATTTTTCGATTTTTCGACTTCATCACTTTTCGGTTTCTCGTTCTTTTGATCTTTCAATCTCTCAATTTTTCAATTTTTCGAATTTTTAACTTTTTTGATTTCTTGATTTATCGAGATTTCGATTTTTCGATATTTTGATTGTCAATTTCTCTATTTATAAATTGTTCAATTTTTAACTTTTCGATTTTTCGATTTTGGCCTATTTCGGTTTCTCAATTGTTCGACTTTTCGACTCCACGATTTCTTGATCTTTTGATTTTTAGACTTCCCGGTTTTAGATTTTCTGTTTTTCAATTCCCGTTTTTTCAAATTTTCGATTTTTCAATTTTTCAAATTTGACATTTAAACTGTCAATTTTTCGATTTTTCAATTAATCGATGTTTTGATTTTCCCATTTCTTGACTTTCGAGGGTTTCGATATTCCTGTTCTTCAATTCTTTAACATTTCAATTTTTCATTTTTTAGTTTTTTAAGGTTTCGATTTTTCGATTTCACTTTTTGGATTTTTCGGTTGCTCAATTTTTCGACTTTTTAGGTTCTCAATTTTTAGATATTTCAGTTTTCGGATTTTTCAACATTTCGGTTCTTTGACTTTTTGATTTTTGACTCCTGGATTTTTCGATGTGTCGATTATTTTACTTTTTCGTCTTTTCAATTTTTAGATTTTTTAATTTTTAAAATTTTTGATTTTTCGATTTCTCGATTTTTCAGTTCAGTTCTTCGATATTTGAATTTTTCAAGTTTTCGAATTTTTCAAGGGTTTCGATTTCTCAATCTTTTGATTTTTCGACTTCCCCGTTTTGGATTTTGTGTTTTTCAATTATCATTTTGTCAAATTTTCGATTTTTTAATTTTTCGAATTTGACTTTCATAAACTCTCAATTTTTTGATTTTTCAATTAATCGATGTTTTGATTTTTCCATTTCTTGACCTTCGAGTGTTTCGATTTTCCCGTTCTTCAGTTCCTCAATTTTTTGATTTTTCAGGTTTTTGATTTTTTCAATTTTTCGATTTTTGAAGGTTTCTATTTTTTGACTTCATTTTTTTTGATTTTTCGATTTTTCAGTTTTAGGATTTTTCAATATTTCAATTCTTCGGCTTTTCTATTTTTGACTTCCAGTTTTTCGATATCTCTACAGTTTTACTTTTTCGATTTTTCAATTTTTGGATATTTAAATTTTAGATTTTTCAATCTTGATATTTTAGTTTTTCAATTTTTCGACTTCCTGGTTTTAGATGTTCTGTTTTTCAATTTTTCGATTTGTTAATTTTTCATTCCGGATTTATCGAGATTTGATTGTTAAGGTTTTCGATTTATCAGTTTTTCAATTTTTTACTTTGGCCTATTTCGGTTTCTCAGTTTTTCCAGTTTTCCATTTTTTCGTTTTTTGATTTTTCCGCTTTTCCAATTTTTCAACTTTTAAACTTTTTGTTTGTCGATTTCTCTATTTTTCGACTTCATCACTTTCGATTTCGCGTTTTTTTGATCTTTCAATCTCTCAATTTTTCGAATTTTTAAATTTTTTGATTTCTCGATTTATCGATATTTTGATTGTCAATTTCTCAATTTATAAATTGTTCAATTTTTAACTTTTCGATTTTTCGATTTTGGCCTATTTCGGTTTCTCAATTGTTCGACTTTTCGACTCCACGATTTGTTGATCTTTTGATTTTTCGACTTCCCGGTTTTAGATTTTCTGTTTTTCAATTGTCGTTTTTTCAAATTTTCGATTTTTCAAATTTTCAAATTTGACATTTAAACTGTCAATTTTTCTATTTTTTAATTAATTGAAGTTTTGAATTTTCCATTTCTTGACCTTCGAGTGTTTCGATTTTCCCGTTCTTCAGTTCCTCAATTTTTTGATTTTTCAGGTTTTTGATTTTTTCAATTTTTCGATTTTTGAAGGTTTCTATTAGACTTCATTTTTTTTGATCTTTCGATTTTTTAGTTTTAGGATTTTTCAATATTTCAATCCTTCGGCTTTCTATTTTTGACTTCTGGATTTTTCGATGTGTCTACCGTTTTACTTTTTCGATTTTTCAATTTTTGGATTTTTAAATTTTAGATTTTTCAATCTTTTGATATTTTAATTTTTTAATATTTCTTAATCTTTCAATTTTTCGACTTCCTGGTTTTAGATGTTCTGTTTTTCAATTTTTCGATTTGTTATGTTTTCATTCCCGATTTATGGAGATTTGATTGTTCAAGTTGTCGATTTATCAGTTTTTCACTTTTAACTTTTTGTTTGTCGATTTGTCTATTTTTCGACTTCATCATTTTTCGATTTCTCGTTCTTTTGATCTTTCAATCTCTCAATGTTTCAGTTTTTCGAAATTTTAAGTTTTTTGATTTCTCGATTTATCGAGATTTGGATTTTTCGATATTTTGATTGTCAATTTCTCAATTTATAAATTGCTCAATTTTTAACTTTTCGATTTTGGCCTATTTCGGTTTCTCAATTGTTCATCTTTTCGACTCCAGAATTTCTTGATCTTTTGATTTTTCGATTTTTCAGTTATCCGATTTTTTTAAATATGGGAGTTTCGATTTTTCGTTATTCGGTTTTTAAATTTTACATTTTTTCGATTTTCTGATGTTTCCATTTTTCGATTTTCAGTTTTTCGATATTTCGATTTTTCAATGTTTCGGTTTTACGATTTTTTAAGGTCTCGATTTTTCGATTACTAGATTTCTCGATTATTTTAATTTTTCATTTTTTCTTTTCTCACTGTTAGTATCATACAGTGTATCAAAAACAACCACAAAAATTGTCACTGAAAACATTTAAAAATTCATACAAAATAATAGAATACAGTGTTTCCAAAACATTTTTCCGAAAAAATCCATAGGGTTATTACGATTTCAACAATATTCTTAGTTTAAGACGTTTTGCTAGTATAAAACACAAATAAAGAATTAATTCTTAGTTAAAAAAAATATGTAAAATCACCAAAACCAAAAAAATCACTTAGTTGTTATAAAAACCGACCAACAACTATTTCCCGCAGAAATTATAGTCTAAACCAATCAAATCGCTTCTGAACGCTTAGAGTCGAGAATGGCTTGAGCACGCTCTGCTCTGTAGAACAAACAAGTTCTCAGGCGATGAGTTGTAGTGAATCAAGTTTTTTTATTGGCATCGACTATTTAAATTTGGCGCTTGTCTTTGGCGGTTGAGGACTTCAATGTAAATAAGGGTGGTTTTGCAAAATCAGCCTGTATGTCGCATCTATATTAATATATGATGCCAAACCAAGATTGAATAAGATTAGACTGTATTTCTATTTCTATAGTTTGGGAGGTTAGAAAGATGTCGGCGCTTAAATAATCATATGGTTTATTCACAAAACATTCAAATATACAGTAATATCTACAATTAAAAAATCTAAATAAATATATAGGTAGAATAATGCTTTAAAAGACGTAATAAAAATAGTGAATAAATCAAGACGGCTAAAAATCAAAAGCACCTAAACGACCTTTCAGTCTTCGACGAAATAAACCAACGAATAAAAAACATATCACAAAGAAAAAACCGACAGATGAAAATTTAGCATCCACAATCGCCCGAAGTAATACTGAACACACCCAATCCTGCGTTTTCAGAAAAAAAACAAAAACAAAACAAAAAAAAACCCAAAGTCAGCGGCCTAAAGTCCTGAGTGATCGCGCATAAAAAAATAATTTCCCCCGGAACACAAACAACGCGAAAAGAAAAAATGGACGTAGAACGAGACAACCGAATTAAGTAAAAAATGTAGGCACGTGTCTTGCCTAGCTATCACTTCCGTAACATCATAAAACCGACGAACATCCAAAGCATAGCGACTCGTCAAGGGAAAGAAGGGACAGATATTCTCCGAATATCTCGCTCTGAAACTGGTTGCACCTCACCACTACAGAAATATCACGAACGGCGCTTAGAAACGTAGGCAGTTCTATTTACAGACGGCCCGAACCACCGCCATCAGTCGTTCTGCTCGATGATGATCAGTCCTTCGCAGTCCTTCTCTTTGGAAATGTTCTGGTTGGCCTGGTCGTTCTCGTACTCGACGAAGTCGTCGAACAGGCTCGGCCAGGCCTCGTTGTCGTCGTAGCAGCTGAGGTCATCGCCGACGGCTTCCGAGAAGTTGAGGAACATGTTCCAGGTGTCGCGGGGGATGCCCCGGACGGACTGGTGGCATTCGAGAAAGGCGAGCCACCGGCCGAGGATGGGCGGCTCGCGTATCGTGAAGACGAGCCGCCAGAGGACGACCGCCATGTCGGTGGGGAGGATGCGCTGGCCGGCGGCGGAGTCGAGCCCGAAACGGAACGTGAACCGGTACAGGTCCTTGAACAGCTCCACGTTTTGGTCCACCTGTAGGCACAAAAACGCATAACTTCTAATACTACACTACAAATAAAATCAATTAATAATAATTAAGTACGTTTACCGAACAGCTGTAAAAATATCTATAAAGGGGTAAATTACATTAACAGAAGATAGGCAACCAACAATACACTTTCGAAGCGACGTTAGATATCTCTGACACAGTATAGATATCAATCAGTAGAGACAGCTCGCCGTTTTTCGTGACCCGTTTTCGTGGGTGGTCGTTCGCATTATGACCGAATGAGGGCGCCCAACTGACGTCTAAAATATTTGAAATTTGGTAGTTTTGTTACAATATTTTTGCCGGTTTTGCTTGTTTAAGACTGCTTTTTCGGTAGAATTGTATAAATAGTATAAAAATGTAATTTTCACAATAAAAGGTAAAATCTTTGGCCGATGAATTTTCACACAGGATTCCTGTTGTGCGCCTTATTCTCTCCATCGTGTTTGGAATTCTTGGAAAAGATAGTAAACATAACACACTTTTTGTTTAAAAAGTCGTCGCAAACGGACAACAACGGTGGTTATGAAATAAATAATAAAAATTCATTATATATGATTCCGTTGTTGTGGTAAAATTAAATATAAAAATAATAAGAAACAAACTACACGTAACAAAAAATTATATAAGCAGACCTTCTCTCAATAAACAATTTTTTTATTCATCATGTATATGTTACAGCTAATATCCGAAATACGTTATTATGCATAACTAGATATTTTAGGAATTATGCGTAATAACTAAACTTGTCAGTTATTATGCATAATAACCGGAAACATTAGGAATTATGCGTAATAACTGAATTTTTCAGTTATTATTATGCACAATAACGGAAACGTTTGGGTAATATTGATAATAACTAACATAGGAACAGGAACTATACCTGAAACATTAGTCATTAAGTATATTGCCTAATAGGCCAGGGCCGATAATTTTTGAGAACAAAAAAATTTAGAACAGCTACCCATTGGAAAAGTAAGAAAATATAACAAAAATAAAAGGAAAAATAATTTACGGGCGATCTAAGGTTGGGAAGTGGAAGAGGGTGAGCTTTTAAGGGTAGAAAACGGTTTATCACGATTTCCGGCAAAACCATCGAAAAAAGTTAGATGGCACAGTTCTAGGTAATAAAAGGATCTACAAGTTTTGTATTTAGACTTTTTTTAAATAATTTCAAAATTTATGTGAAAAATGCAAATAACCGAGTTTTTGGGTTTTTGTTTTTATCTCCCACAAAAAAGTTTTTTTTTTCAGGAAATTTGGTGAAAACTTACCTATTTATGTCCCAAAATCACTGTAATTTTTTTGATTCAAAATATTTATTTTTCTCCCTTATTTTGATTTAATATCGAAAAACCACCCTAATTTTCAATCGAAAATTCTCACCTCAAAATGTTTGCTGTTTTAAAAAATCGGTGTAGTTTTTGTTCGTTGAAATCTCTGCTTTCTGATGATTATTTTTGTCCATTTTTTTGTTAATGTACGAAGTCTTCTTTTCCCAACAAGAAACTAAAAACATATTTAACTATCGTGTTGTTCAAAGAAAACTATATGTAACTAAAAAAAGTCCAGAAATTCTCAAAAAATTCAAGTTTATAGATCTTGACGTTCTGATTCCAAAAGTAAGCGTGTATAGTGTTACACTAGCAAGCTCTAGCTCCGCCCACCTGCCCCCTATTTTCTTAGGAATTGTATCATTTACCAAAATTAGTCTTATTTTAGCTACAAAACAAATAAAAGGTTCTAATCGTAATTTTTACGGTATGCCATTTGCTATAAGGTTCATTTTTTATTTCAGAAGAAAAAATTAAAGAACGGGTGGGTGGGCGGTGCTAAGTTCGATTTTTCCACTGACTGCTCCTAATATTGTTCAGTCATTTATCACCGGCCCTGTATTTCCTTAGAGGATATGTCATTGGCCACAATCAGTCTTATCATAGTAAGTACTAGCCCCGCCCACCCGCCCTGTTTTCATTCTAACGATGTTAGTTTTGTTCAGTATAAGAGACAGTTTTCATTCAAACCTGATAAAATAATGGAAAATTTCATTTTCGAAAAAGTCGTCTAAAGATACTCAAAAAATTCAGGGATATAGATCCCGACTTGCTGATTCCAAAAATGTAGCGTGTTTATGGTAGTGGGGACAGATTTTCGGAATATTCGGTGTGAAATTGGAATTTTTTGAAATTTTTATAAACTACGATATTTCAATGGGCGATTCTTGAAAATTGGTTCGAGTTATCGAAGAAATGACTTCTGTGGCCCGAAATCTACAGGAAAATGTATTTAGTTAAATTTCGAAAATCGTCGAAAACGGGTCGAAATTTGAAACATTGTGGAAAATTTCATTTCTGAAAAAGTCTTCTACAAATTCTTAAAAAATTCAAGGTTGTAGATCTTGACGTGCTGCTGATTCCAGAAATATAGTTGGTTTAGTCTTATACTAGCAAGTTCTAGCCCCACCCACCCACCCTTTATTTTCTTAGAAACTATGTCATTTATCAAAATCAGTCTTATCTTAGTAACTACAAACCCCGCCCACCCGCGCTGTTTTCATTCTAACGATTTTATTTCTGTTCAGTATAAGATAGTTTTCATTCAAAGATGAAATGAATCACTGAAATGTAGGCGGGGTGGGCGGGTGGGGTTAGGTTAGATCTTGACGTGCTGTACTAGTCCCGCCCACCTGTCCTTAATAAAAAAGCCAAAAAATGTAAAACAAAATAACAAATTTTGTCCGAAAAATAAAAAAAAATATTTTGGGTGGGCCACCCTTATCACCTAGGGGTATAAAAAGTAGTTTACGACCTATTCTCAGACCTACCGAATATAGACAGAAAATTTCATAAAAATCAGTCAAACCGTTTCGGAAGTGTTTGGTTACACACACTGTGACACGAGAATTTTATATATTAGAAAACAATGAATTTACGATGTTTCTCTTTCCTTTTCCGGCAAACCAAATAAAAACAATATAGAAATGCAACGATATTTTTGATTCATATTTGAAACTATTGGACGTGAAAAATAAATCTTTTACACTTCCAGAACTTGGTTTGAGAAAATAAATGTCATAATTATTTGAATCCAATTGATTCAAAAGGACCAAAATATCTTGACCCACAACTATGACAGTTTTATTAGTATCTCTGGCAGTTTCTATCGAGATCTTAATTATGTCAGCATCAGCATCTTCTTCTGCTTGTTTACAGGAAAATCCTTGTGACTGTAGATTCCAAAAGTTTCTTTTAAATAAATCAATTCGTCACGATTCTCTTCAAGTAACTCAGCCTGCATGTATATTTTTATAGACGATGTTGTTCATTCTTCTCATGGGCTAAAATTTTCCGTAGGCCATTCAGGTATGTAAGTTATCTTAAAATAGCAATAAATATAATTTAAAAATTATCCTACAATTTTAACAAAATATTGTAGATGTCTTATAAAGTATTAAGTGTATTAACTTATTTGGTTGTTAATTATAGTAGTATATTTCGATATGCATTTTTTTAATTTATCAATGTAACATGAAATATTACGTTTTTCGAGTAATTAACGTGTACATTTTAATAAATAGCTCCAAATTTTACATAATAATTAAAAAAGAAATTTTTGAATTCGAGTTTTTTCGTTTTTTTGCATTTCCTGTGAAAATTTGCCATAGTAATGTATATTTTTTTTTTTACATCTTCAGAAACTAGATATTTCAGCGACAAAAAGCACACCGATTTTTTTTAAAAAGCAAATATTTTGACGTGAGAATTTTCAATTGAAAATTAGGGTGGTTTTCCGATATTAAATCAAAATAAGGGAAAAAAATAAATATTTTGAATCAAAAAAATTACAGTGAGTTTGGGACATAAATAGGTTAGTTTTCACCAAATTTCGTGAAAAAAAATTTTTTGTGGGATATAAAAATAAAAAACCAAAAACTCGGTTATTTGCATTTTTCGCATACATTTTGAGGAAAGAAAGTGTAAATACAAAAGTTGTAGATCTTTTTATTACCTACAATTTTGCCGGAAATCGTGATAAACCGTTTTCTACCCTTAAAAGCTCACCCTCTTCCCCTTCCGGACCTCAGTTCGCCCGTAAATTATTTTTCCCGTTACTTTTGTTATATTTTCTTCCTTTTCCAGTGGGTATCATCCTGTTCTCTTCATCTTGTCCAGCTGATTTCAAAAAAACGGGACAAGATGAGCAATTCAGGTTCTCATAGATCAATGAAAAGCAATGGGAATATGACGTTTACATAACTGTAATTTGTCCCTTTTTTTTTAAATCAACTGTACATGTGATATGTAGGGGAAAGCGAGGCAGGGTGGGTAGCTCTTTGGAAAATTTTATGCATAATTCCTGTTTCTGTGTTAGTTATTATCAATATTACCTAAACGTTTTCGTTATTATGCATAATAACTGAAAATTTCAGTTATTACGCATAATTCCTAATGTTTCCGGTTATTATGCATAATAACTGATAAGTTTAGTTATTACGCATAATTCCTAAAATGTCTAGTTATTATGCATAATAACGGATTTCGGATATTAGCTGTAACACATATATATATATTTTTTGACCTACACAATCTTGAGTTTTATTTTGAGACGTTGCTTAACCCATAAGCAGTCGCGCGTGGGTAAAAATGACCCAAGCCGTACATTTTGTCAAATATCCTTTTTCGCTTAATCCCTATGGACTTCCGGTTTCATGAATTCCTTAATTATTCTTACCTGCGTCGACCCATACCAATCACTTTATGTGAGCCGACAAATATGCATTTTTTTTGTAATAATTTTTTTTAAATAAAAATTTTACTTTGTATGATATTACGCTTACGGGTTAAGTTGTTAGGTAAAATGGGTTTGACTATATATTAACAAGACGCCTTTGCCAAGACGTACTAGAAAACTGTTTTGGATGGATTAGAAAACAAAATGGAAATTCTATTAACCCCACATCTAATCAATTTCAAATGGCTTTTAG